CGGGCCAAATTTTGTGTCCATCGGATACATTTATGCTATTTATTTGTTAAAAGTCGATTGTCTTGCCGATCAAAAAATTTAAATTTTTGTTAATTTAAACTGTCAATTTATTTCAAACGTTGTTTTTTTTTTTCTTGCCAATAAAAAATGGGAATTTAGTTAATTTCAACAAAAGATGACTAATTATAAAAAAATGCGATTTTGCCAATAATAAAATACAATTACACATATGAAAATCATTTTTTTTTTCTTATTGTTCATTTTTGGTTAATAATCATAAAAAAAACTAATTTTAAACATATTTATCATTCAAGTCCATAAGGTAGCACAATTTAAGTACACTACATATAGCAAGTAAAATTTATTTGCATGTAAAATATTAGATTTTGAATTTTTTTTTTTCAATACAAATGCTAAAACTTGATTCTATAAGGTAGCATATTTAAGTCTTTTTAAAGCTCTAATTAATAGCAATTTAACATTATATAATTCTAAAATAGTAACCTAAATGTAGTAAAACTCATTTGCAGGATTTTCATACATAATTAACAATTGGACAATTAAAATTTTGTTACAATCTCACGAACTAAAAATTGGATATGTAATAATCCTAAAATCTATATATATAATAATTACTAGCTAATAGTATTTAATAAAACCTATTTAATTTTACCTATGTGGCAATTTAACAGTTTTCCTCAAAAAACCGTTACTTTTTGATGCATTTAATCATTCATTTAATTATTAAATAATCAATAGTAATCACTTCAAAATTACAAAAATTATTTTAAACTTTTGATTAATGACAGTCGACCATATAATGTGTTGACCGTAGAACTTGATTATATGTTAATACTGTGGTTACATTTAAATTAATTTTGTAAATTAAAAAACATATTTGAAATTCTTGAATAAATAATAACGGATTTGCTATGGAGTAATCGGATGGCTCGGCTTATATAGTCATCCATAGTTATTTACAAATAGTGTATTTACACGTGTTCTACAATAAATATACTTTGGACAGGTGTCAATACATTAACTGATCGATGGCTCCATAAGTAAACCATCCGATGGCTCCATAGAATTCATTTAAATAATAAATAATTCACAACAAAAGAAGTACCAAAAAAAAAAAAATA